CATGAACGTGTGTAAGAAATTTTATGACAATCCATCCAGTAGTTGTTGACGGATTGACTATATGAGCCTGACCGCTAGCATGGCTAAAAATGTGCTTTCCATATTCTTAATACTGTGTTTCTTATTTGGCAAAGTTTCACTTAGATGCAGCTGAGCTGATTAATGTTTAACACAAGTTCTTTATCTAAGGTCTTTGCATATATATTTGTGTTAGTAGTAAATGTCTCTTTGTAGCCTATAATCATAGATAAAATAAAGGACCAGAATTAAAGCAGTTCTTTACCTCTTCAGGTGTCCTCAGTGCTGCGGTCCTTCCTGGACCTGATGTTGGTGAGGGAGCCCTCGCAGAGAGCCACGGCCCAGGAGCTCCTCCAGCACCCCTTCCTCAAGCTGTCTGGACCGCCTTCCTGCATCGTCCCCCTCATGAGACACTATCGCCACCGCTGACCCGCTGGCCCAAAAAACCTGGCCTCCTTGACACTAAAAACACACACATACACACACTACCAGGGTGGCACTGCCCTCACCCAGCCAAAAACACCCCACCGCTTGGTGGCGCGCCACTAACACTCACACCTGTAACCGTGAAGTAGATTAGCTAGAGGAATATCTAAGAAATACATTTTAAAAAACACGACAGAGAAAAGAAGAAAAAAAATCTCCTACCATTTTGAAACTATGAACTGGAGTAGAAGAGTGTACTGTGCCACAGGAACTCTATCGTCGTCCAGTAGAAACGTGTGGGCTGGCTCGCCCTGCTGCACTCTTCTTTCTTCCTAGACTGTGAGTCTTCAGCTCCATGTAGAGTTGTAGTAGCCATCAGCGAGAGCTTCAGAGAGGTGTTGGCGAGCTGCTGGCGAGGTGGAGGGACCCTGGGGCCCCGGCGCTCTGCTCCAGACCAGAGCAGCAGAGGGCAGAACAATCAGCTGCGTGCAGAGAGGGGTCTTTGACTGGTAATGACTGTTGTACGGCTGCTGCTGCGTCGTCAGTCAGTCCATCTGAAGGACGGGCTGCTCAGCTGGTCAAAACGGAGACAAGCTCTCTTGTATCTCTCCTCTCACACACTAACAGTGAAAATGTATTTTAGAGAAACTTGTAAGTTTTTCTGTACAGTTTTGATAATTTGCAGTATTTTATCGTGTCGTAACCATTGTGATATGAGCAGTATTAAATAGAGTTTCTGCAGAGATCTTTCCTACTGTTTATAATCCAGTTTTTGCTTAAAAATATAAGAGATATCCCAAATAAACCCACCTAAACCTAACTGTTACTAAAAATACTAAATATATTTATTATCTTACATTTGTAGACAGAACTTCCATTAAATGTTGGAAAAAAGGGTAATGTCAGAATTTTGTACGACGTTTTAAAGTATTTATTTATTTATTGGAATTGAAGGTTTATTTTTTGGTAGTGTGGCCTTTTTTTTGTTTATTACGTTTTGGTTTTTTTGTTGGGTTTTGATTTACATTTCTAAAAGTGCATCGGCAGACAGTGATATCAGTTGTTATATCATCCAAGCAATACACCCAAACGTATTTATGAAACCATGAAGCCCCGTATTTACGATACTGTAAAATCATTTAAATGTAGCACAGATTGAGTGGATTTGACGAGAAAAGATTTCTTCTACGCAGACCTGTTTTCTTTTTTATTAGGAGTCTCATCCTGTTTCTCTAAATGCTAAGAGGCGCCCATCCAAGACGCCCTCCTACCGCGCAGATTTTAGGATGCTGATAAAAGGTCTCGTTTTCTACTCACATCCTCACTGTCATCATCTCACTCCTTATCCCACCTCAGTCAGACACACACTCGCTATCACTGGAACTGTGCTGCCATTCTCATCTCTGGTTGGACCGGGAGAACAGTGTAATCCTCCTCCCTGCATCGTTTTTACCCATCATTCACTGTGATATGTAAATATGACTGTGCGTACGTGAATGTGAGCGTGCATTTGTTTGTGTGTGTGTGTGTTTGTCTGTGTATGTCAAAGAGCAAAAGAGGTAGAGCGTGTTTATCTCTGTACAACATCTGAGTGTGTGCGTGCGTGCGTGTGTGTGCTGCTGACTAATCCTTGACAATGTGTCAAGACTTGAATGAGTAACACTTATCTGTGGTGTTGGCTTGTACAGTGATATTGCATGTTTGTTATCAGTGAAGCTGGTTTCAATTAAAAAACGCCCATAAAAACATTGAGATGTGTTGCATGGATTTTTCCTTCATCTCCCTCTACAGTCTCCTCTTCTTCTTCTCTCTCTGTGTCTCATATCAAACAGAGATTTTTTTTTTTAAACAGCACACTTTCAGATTATTCAAGGGAGTTCCTTTCAGTCATCAACAGTTTATTTTCCCTTTATTGTTTGGGTCTTCCATATTCTCTAAATTCAACAGTTCTCATTCCCAACTATTTCACCCTAACTTCACCTCCGCACAGAGAAGCAGAGAGACACATCCATGGATCGGTTTTGCCCTAACATATGAGGTTATTTCTCTTTCTTTCCTCTAAGCCATTTTCCTCTGAAACACCATAATGGGATATTGATTTAACTCGGACAGAGAATGGAGCTTCTCTCTCAGGGACAGATACCTCTGCCGACGGCCCAGTAAATAAAGGCACAAGTACTGGTCCCCAGTGGGACTGCAGGGCATCAATGAGGATCAAACTCAAGACTATAGTCACTGAGTTAACATTAAGGTATATAATGTAACACATCCATATATTCTCCAAAGACCACGCTCGATTGCTCCAAACACTTAGCTCCACATTAAAGTACAGGCGACTCAACACTGTGGATTCAAATGTGTGTGTTGGTGGTCTGGCAATAGCTTCAATGACTATTAATTGCTTCCATGTTGTTTTTTCATTAGGTTTATATCTGTTTCACAGCAGACCTCTCAAAAGATAAGGCCACTAACTGAGGACAATTGATAATAACAAACTGAGTCTATCTTTTTGTGTGAGCGTGTTTTTAGGCAAAACAGTTCAGCTGAGTCACAATAAAATGAAGAGATTTAATTTCTATAATTAAAATCTATTTTAAGCAATGTGGACAATTCTTTAAAAAGCATGATTTGACATTTTTTAGGGATATAAAATTTAAAATTAATAAAAATAAAACAGTTAAATAAATAAATGTTTTTTTGTGTGTCTAAAGTCTACATTGCTTATATGTGTGAGGTGTGGCAATAGGGAGCTGGCTGCATTCAATAAAGATATAAAGATATAAAGGTATAAAGCAGTGCCTCAGTGGCGCTGGGGCCTCATTAATAACAACTGTTACACCTGTGTGTGTTTGCTGAACATTTACTGCGAAAAAGGGTGGGATTTGAAGCACTTTCACAAGTTTTATGACAGTAAAAAATGTTATTAGCCTAATTGGCTAGTCTAGAGTTGAGGAAATGGCGACTTGCCGACTTCTGTGTAACAGTGAAAGGTCTATTGCTGGAGAAACCTGTCCGTGTGGCTGGATTTTACACCATTAAAAGAAACCTGTTGAGGAAGAAAAAGGAAAGCGTATTTCGGCTTTGTGAAGTTCAGCAACAGGTGAGTTTTTCCAAATTAATTGTCCATATTTCTTGTAGTTTTGGGAGGACACACACTTTGGTTACCGGTTAAAAGTTCATCTCTGGCTGAAACACACAGACTGTAAGCTAACATGGTTAGCTCTGTAGCCTTGTGTGTGTTGTCATGGCAACCTCAGCACGTCAAGGTGGGTACTTCCGGTGCATTCCTTGGTTCTGAATCAGCTTTGGAGATTTCTCACTGTTATTTGATGTTTTTGTTTTTTGGGTAGCAGCTTTGCATTATGAATAAACTGCTACACATAATGATATAGTATACTTGTAGAGACTTCCTGAAAATAAAAGCTGTAAACACTACTGTTTCCTGACCATGTGAAAATATAATTTTTTTTTTATTGGTGACAAATGTATACGAGTTGGTAGTGGAAAGTAACTAATTATATTTACTTTTTTAACTTTATTTTGATTCTTTTTTATTGTTAGTGGTGACATACATAGTACATTGGTGACATTTTGTGTTATTAATATATTTGAGTAATATGAGTGGGGTAAGGAAGAAATAAATAGATAGAATAAATAAAATGTTATAATGATAATTATGTAATTTAAAAATATATATACATTTTTTATAGCAATAAAATATGAATTCATAATACTATAATAATGTACAGAAATATGTTGGGTTGGGTATTTCATGAGTTTCGTGGCCACGAACGGCTGAGCTGTATACAAATAGTTGCATCTTCACTGCTAGACGCCTCTAAATCCTACACACTGATACTTTAAAGCTGTAGAAATGTTGTATTTTGAGTTAAAAGTGTGGAAAGCAAATTAATGTTGCATTCAATTTAAGTAGCAAGGATAATTGATTAATTACTGAGTCCTGAGAGTACGAACCAAGTAGTAACCAAAATATTACTCCTATGAAATGAGACAATCCATATTAACTGTTACAACCATCTACTGTAATGCTGCGTTGGTTCAGGTGTAGTGGGATTAATCTGTGCTTGGTCTGAATGGGCGTCTCACATCTTGAGTTGACTTTTCACAATGAAATTCCTTCAAGATCCTCTCCAACAATGACGTGGCCAGTCTGAGTGAGAAACTGGATTAAGGGCTTTGACTTTGATGTCCTGTGACTGAGGATGATGTATGACGCCCACGCTGCTGCAACAAATAGGTGTAGCTGGCACAAATGCTCTATTTATTTTCAATTAGACTTGTTCATATTGCGTTTCCTTCGAAGGCCCAGATTCAGAAGACAAAATCAATAACCTCCTCCCTGCAGCGTCTCCGCTGACAGGAGTATCAGTCACCATTTTACAGTCGTTTGTAGTCTTGTTTGATTTTGTTTTAACAACATATAGGAAATAAATTGTGATTTTTATTAGGTTTGAAGATTGAAGAGAGTGCACTGTGATGTGATAGATAATAGAAATAACTGGACGGGTGTGTAGAGATGATTCCAGCAATTTATTTCAATGAACAGAAGAATACTGCACAAAATTGCATCAGCAGAGGTTTATGCATAGACTTTGATTCTGAAAATATTATACACATATTATTATTTTTCTTATTTAATAACCTCTCTGCATTTTCATAATCACTCTCATATGGCATTCTGATAAATTCGTAACTATTTAGTACAGAATTTCTGTCAGACATTTATGCATTCCTTGCTTCCTTTTTTTTGATATGTTCCATACATTAGTGTGGAGAAAAGATTTGTCGAAGTCAAAGCAAAAACATTGCGACTCTGAATGCCACTGCACTGCACACACTACAAGACTTGTCCACTGTGAAACACTATGGCTGCATTCAAAAAATGAAATCAAAGGGACTCTTGAACAAAAAAGATATCAAGTTTAGCAAGTACAGAACCAACAATAGGTATTGAAATCATTTAGCAGCAGTTTCAGTGAGAGAAAGACAGGAGAAGAAAACAAACAGTTGGCTATTGACAGCAGAAGCTCTGGAAATTTTTCTCAAAGAGACTTAAAATGGATGAGGTAATAAACTAAATCCCAATGACGTTAAGGAAAAATGAATCAGTAAACTGTAACCTCAGGTGGGTGATTTTCAGACGACAACCACCAACCATCTGAACAAAAATCAATTATATTTTCATAAAAGCATAAATGTGTTTTTATTTTAATTAAAATTCTAATTACTGTAATACAGACTATGAATTAATGGCATTAAGATTCAATTCAGCAGCCGGGTAAATTAGATTTTGGTGGGTTTACCCTCCAACTACATCCATGCTAGGCCCCGAGCTGTCCCGTTAACTTCCAGTGGTTCCAGTGGGCCTAAAGTACAGGCTACACACATTTCTCTGTCAGGAATTCAGTCCATCGTAGGGGACCTTTCCTCTGTGGTGTTAGGCCTGGGACATCAAGGAGACAAGTCTTTTATCAGGTTAGCTTTGGAGAGAGCTGAGGGGAGCCGCCGTGCTGCTGCTGACTACATGTTCTTGTACATGGAGCGATCTCTGGGGAGTTGGGGCTGGGTCGCTGTCAGTTTCAGGTGGAAGTGGTAGATGGTGAGTGTGATGACGATTATGAGGGCCAAAATGAAGCCCAGTATGAGGGGGAGGGTCTCCTCCAGGCGCTCCCGCTGGTCGGTGATGCACTTGTAGGCTGCAAAATGTGGAATAATGAACACAGTCAGCGTGGTGAATATGATGGATAAGGGTCCCACATGGCCTTAGTGTGTGGATTCATTCAGAATTCATGTGTATTGTCTTTTCTGGCTGGAATTCAGATTTTTTAACGCCTTTCAATGGACTTGTACTATGATGATATAATCATATCATTTTACTTAATTCTGTCTAAATTTGGGCTGCAACTAACTTCACTGTTGTTTAATTTGCCAATTGTTTTCTTCATTGACTGATTAATTAGTCTTTAAAATGTCCAAAAACAGTAAAAAAAAATGCAACTCAGAATACCCTAAAGCCTACGGTGATGTCTTCAGATTTATTGTTTTAGGGCCAAATATATTGAGTTTACCATTGTGAAGGATTAAAGAAACCAGCAAATATTCATATTTGAGAAGCTAGAACCAGTGAATTTGGGTTATTTTTGCTTAAAAAAATGACGATTATCAAAATAGTTTGATTGATTTTCTTCAATTGACTATCAATTAATTGAGTAAATGTTCCACATTTAATGAAATGATTACAATTAACTTACTTAGTAACAAAATTAGGTATTTTAGTTTTGTGGTGCACATTTTTTTTCAGCGTAGTCGTGTGTGTGTGTGTGTGTGTGTAAAATGGAGGTAGCCTTTGTGTGTGTTTGCACAGAAGCTGCTCCTCAGGTTTTTATTCGCTAAATTTCTCAAATTTCACACAGATGCTTCTTCTCTCTTTCAGTTATACTATTAGTCACATGCAGGTTCTCCCCTCTTTTGTCCCCAGTTAAAGGCATGTCAACACACACACACTCAACTTTACATACATGTGTGTCTGTAAGGGGGTAAGGAAAACACCTGAACCCACAACTGGCTGCACAGGACAGTGTGTGTGTGTGGTTTAAAGTTGAAGGTGTTTCTCCCTGTGGACCGCAGTAATGCACACTAGGAGGGAGGCAGTGAAGCCTGCACAGCCTAGTTTACAGCAGCTCAGAGCAAATGATTCTTCCAAGGTGATTGGCTTCAGAGGACGGCCAGGTACATTGAGTGTGTCTATAAAAGCTGCATTGAGGGCAAGGATATAACTGCACTCATAAAGTCCTAATGACCCCCACCCTTCTCTCCCTTTCTCTCTCTCTTTGCGTCTCTTTCGTCTCTCTTGCATCCCCTCCCCCTCTTTTTTCTCGTTACCCTGTCTCCCTCTCTGCAGCCCTATGTACTCCTCACACTGCAGCAATAACCCCCCAGAGGTGCGTGTGTGCGCGTGTGTCTGTGTTTGAGTGTGTGTCCGAGAGAGAAGTCGATGCAAAGTTGTAGTACCCTCACCCCCATTCTCATCATGATTGTCATTTCTGCTTTTCTTTATGTGTGACTATAAAGAGACACACTAGCTAGTGTGTGTGTGTGTGTGTGTGTGTGTGTGTGTGTGTGTGGCAAAAGGTTTTTTGGCAGCGTTTCTCAAAGTGTAGGTGGTTCTTACGTTCACTGAACATGAAGTCAGAGGCGATATCGAAGGGCTGGATCTGGATATCATACAAGGAGACAGTGATACCCTTCTGGTGGTCGCTTGAGATGAGGGTGAGAGTCTGCTGCGCTTGGCACACAAAGGAGTGCCCAGCGGGGGTCACCAGGGCCGACAGGCGGTGGGTGCTGGCTGTGTGCTTCCCAGCTGGAGAGAGGGGATGAGTTGTGAATAAATAAGCATAAAGGCATTATAATGTAACTAGTTTTAAGGTATGTGTGTGATTGGCCTCACTGCAGGCCTGTGTCAAAACAAGATTCATGTAAATTGCTACATTTATGATATAGAATTATATAATATATCAATTGGTTGGCTCCACTGCAACTAAAAGCAATAGAAACAATCAAATAAAAGAAACTCGCTAAACTAAAATAAAATGAAATAAAAAACTTACAAATATGTCAAGTTGACAATCACATTATTAAAACTTGAAATTTAATTTATTAAATTGTGTGCAGAGTTTATTATTTATAGGATTGATGCACACCATTTGTTTTTCCACATTGTAATAATAACAATAGCATTGATACTACTACTACTAATAATAATAATAATAATACAAATTGATTATTAATTGCAGATTTTTCATCTTAAAGGCCTACTAAAACTTAGGGCACTATATAAAATATGTAACATTAAATATTAAATAAATTCCACTAAACAATCTAAATATTGTATACAAGTGGGTGTAAATCATAAATCGTGCGTGAGTCCAGCTGAATAGAAATTTGAGTTGAACTGCGATCACAGCAGGCGGATGGAAATGTGCTGACTGGCTACTGTACACGGGCTCTCTTCGGCGGGAGACTCACGGTTGTACGCGTTGATGAAATGCGATGTCTCCGAGGTGTCGTAGACGAACTGGACCTTGCTAATCTTCCACACCTCAGTGCCCTTGTCACGGAACTCCTGCAACACGCACACACACGCAACACACACACACACACACACGCACACAAACGCGCGCGTCAGTCTGGGCTTTTCCACGGAGAGGGCAGGTTGGCCCACACTCAGCAAAAAATGTTCTTCGGCTCCTGTCCATTGTTGAAGACGATGAGTGAAGTCATTTCCTTTAACTAAAATATTCTCTCTTACATCGAAACATAACATGTGACATGATTCCGATACACAATTTGTAATAGCAAAATTTGACCACATTTTTTAAATGAAAGACTATTACGTCGTTTCAGATTGCTCAACAAAAATGAGAATAAAAGTGAAAGTAAATTAGTTAATATATGTGTGTGTGTGTGTGTGTGTGTGTGTGTGTTGAGGTGATTTATGGCGATATGCTGGATTCCCTGGAGATGTTTCAGAATCATTTTTATTGCATGTGATGACAGTATATGCGTTATTGACCGCGTTCTCGCCCACCTTGGAGAAGTAGATGCGGAGAGTGTATGCGTTGTTCTTCCAGGTTATGTGGATCTCTGACTCCGTGCTCCCACATTTCCCCTCGATTTCTGCCCCACGGGGCAGAGTGAACGACGCCTGCTCGGTGATGAGCTGCAAAAAGATACAACAACCACGTGAAGAAAGTTGGCAGATTACGGACTGTGATGTCGCTGGAAGGAGTTTTTAAGCCTTACGGTCCGTTTTTACGCACGAACTTACAGTGTAACCAGATATCCATAGCAGGGAGGATTATTTGAATGAGTTGTTCTTACAAACAGAAACAGAGAAGTGTCAGTTTCATTAATGATAAAAATGTGTGATATCGCAAAATGGTTTCCTTTTCCTGGTGATTGTGCTGTTGCGACGTCAGCGTTTTACGCACGACCACACACTGCAGAAGCAGTTTCCAAATATAATTCTAATGCTATCAAAATACATTCCCTTATGAGTAAAATAAAAACAGTCAGTTTAAATAAATGGAAAGTATTTTGCATTTCAAACACTTCCCAAGTGCTGCATCCACCTTTACGCACAGCGGCAACCCTTTTAACGTCTTCACCACACAGCCACATTGTATGCAGCGTACATGCTTGAAGCAGCCACTGCGTTTCATTTTCTTCAAAGCATCCACACGTATTAAAATGCACAGGGGGATTCCTTACGTCTATCCCGTTGAGAGCGATCACGTCATATGGCACGAGGAATTTCACGGCGAACTCCACCATCAGACATGTCGTGCCGTTCTCCCGGACCGCGAAGATGGCTTTGTCTGGGTTGTTCGACAGACCGGACAAGTTCTCCCCTTCCTGCTCCGCCAGCACCACGGACAGCGCCAGCACACCTGACCACAGAATAGAATATTGGT